CACGTTCATCGTTTTTTGTTTTTTTGACAACAGAAAATACAACTGTAGACAAAAATATAAAATGAACTGCTACTTAGGGAAGAGTAAAAAATGCATTCAACGGTACGCAATCGAGATTAGCAGTAGTAGCATAGTCCGTGCATAGTCCTGACTGAGATGAACATACAAATGAGAAAAAGATAAAAAATACATTCAAGAGGGTAGATGAATGACGCATGCGCACGAATTCGCAGCATATAACTCTAATGCTAGGGCGTTGTGGTGGAGGCGTAAATTCATGTATGCTCACAAAGTACTCTTCAACACGAACAATCAAGGTGTTGGACTGGAAGTTCATACCAATTTAAGTAACTTACTTGTGAAATGATGTTGGAATACTACAGAGTAAAAAATAAAACGACGTACCGTTTGTTATATTATTTTCAATAATTAATTAATTTTCGATAACAATAAATATGTCATTATAGTAATTATTTTCGAGAATAGTAATATAATTATGAGTAATTAAGATAGCTTGCAAAATTAACATCAAAGTTTTAATTAAAACATTTTATTATCCACACGTACGTCATGTTATGTATTGAAGTTTTGAAGGTTACCATACTCCCACAGCATGTGATAATGGACATAGTTCGCTGGTAATGCCCGAGACTAATTCCCGTGTTATTTCATTAACGTCCCACAAGTCCCAGAGGGTTAGGTACCTACTTTGCTAGTTGCACATCAGACAGATACTCACCCCCCAACTCACTCGTCCCTTTGGACTTGCATTAGGCGCGTGTCAAAGGGGTTGCAAAATTTACGAGGTGAAGATTTTCACCCAAAGGTCGATTGATAGTTTTGTATATGTCCATCTCTAACTAATCTCATCGTGTTGAGTTGTTTTCAATCGTCCAAGTGTTCATTTTATTTTTTATTCTATTGATAATACGACACTACTTGAGAATAATTTATTACTTGATTGTTGAATCATATTTTTCTTTGATAAACTCAAGATTGAATTTATAACACAATTTTATTTTTAAAAATTATTTAAATCGTTGGATAATTTGATCTAATTTGTTAATATTTTTATTTTTTGGGAAAATAAGTAAAGAATTAAATGAAGAATTGATTCAGGGTGATAGATTAGATAATTACAACCACTCTTATAAGAAAGACGAGAAGGAAAAGGAGACGAGGGGATAAATATGAGGGTCATGATTGACATTATGACTAGTGTGAAATAAGGAAAAATCATTTCTGATCGAATTGAGTTGATGCTCAAATGATGGGAAAAATACTCCCTCCGATGGCTCATGAACAACTTAATATTTGGCCACAAATACGTCAGTATTATATCCGTATTTAAATTTACTTTTTTTGCGAAACGATTTTTTAAAAGCAAAAAAAAATTAACGTTTCTACATTATTGTTAAATGAAAGATTTATATTTCATATTTTAAATAAATAGTTGAAATTTTGATGTTGAATATAAATTGTAATTTTGATAAAAAATGATATTTTCATAATTGATAATTAACATTATAATAAAATTCTTGTAATCTATATTCAGTAATAGACCAAAATAATGATTATAGCATGAAGGAATGAGTAAAATCGTGAAAAGAGGTGTTATCCAATTATTCCAAGTTGTTAAGGCACGTCAGGATGTTTAAGGGATTAAATTAAGACATTCCACACAACAAATCTCCCAAGAATCTCAATTAACTTCCACTAGTTTCTGTGCCGTTTTAATTAACTGTTTAATTTCATTCAATTTTTCAATGCAAGTATAACTTGGCTGTTTGTTTAAATAATTCATTAAAAAATAAATAAAATTTCACCTGTTATTTTTTTTTTTTTTTTTGTTCCATGTTATGATATTAATATTAATATTAATGATGTTGATAATAAAGTATGAAAAAAAATTATTGAAAAACTCTTTAGTAAAAGTGTTGCCTCTCGTCGAATTAATGATAGGATGCCAATTTGAATTGTATGGTACTTTTTACCCAGGCAAAACATGAGAAGCCTACAACACGTTAAAGAGGAGAAAAAATAAAGAGACGCGATCGAAACCTCTGCTGGCTTTATCCTCTTTTGCTCATGTCTCTTCACATACTTCTTTCATCGTATAGAAACAAAGTAGAGTGGATCTGTGATCTGCTAATTTTTTTTGTATTCCTTTACTTCATTTGAGAAGCGATAAATATGTTGGAATTTAATAACTTTCAGTTGATGAAAATTGCTTTGAACTATTAATCTGCAGCATTGTGAATAAGAATACTCATTCCTGTACATCTGTCCCGATGGATAGATATATATATTTTTTTTTCTTCAACTTTTTTTATAACAACGCGAATTCATGGAAGAACGAGTCACGTCGAGAAAAAAACAGAGGAAAAAAATCTAGAAGACTGTCGACACGAAAATGAAAACTTGGGAAGCATCGAAAAGGGTGTCGAGGCGTCGTGATGATGAACGAGACGGGGATGTAAGTGCAAGGGATGTTGAGAGGGTAGAGGAGGAAAGAGACTTATACAAGGCGTTGATAGGCAATCTGGTTGATTGCCAACTTCAAACAGACCGAAACATGCAGCGATCTAGAACACACTGCTAATAAAAAAGAAAAAAAATTTTTGGCCTAAAGAATGTTGATGCATGATGACGATAATGGTGATGATAAAAGTTCTCAACACCTATATAGAATTATATACTTGAAGCTTTGAAAATACTATACGACATTTTGCTTCTAATTAATATTAGGTGCCAAGGTCGATTAAAAAAAATGACGAATAAATAAAAAACGATTAGTAGAAACAAAAATACAAAACAAAAAATAATCCTGCATTCTAGTTATTGCGTGCATGCTTAGCAACGTCTAGCTCTGTAGGCATGCCCTCGTCTTCAGCTCTGTGGCCAACAGTTTAAAGACAATACGATGAAGGTATGAGGCGTAAGGTAAATGAGTGAACTGTAAGGCGAGGTGCCAGAGTGACATTTGAATGGAAGAGCAAAAAGCTTTGTACTCGCTTACTCTGTAACCCAACACCCGAAAATCGTTCTCTAAATTCACTCAAATAAAATGCAATTTGCGTTGAATCATGTATATGCTTCAATTTGTTTAAATTTTTATTCATCTTCATATATAACTTGCCATTAGTTTTAAAAAAATTTACTAGCATTTTCTACTCGATAACAAATTGCAATTAAAGCAAACAATCAATCACAAGCATCAATATTTTGAAAGAGTTTGTTAACAAGTAGAATATCTACTAAATATGATTGAAATTGTTAGTAAAAGAGACTCATTGTAATTGATGAGTAATTTAGAAGAAAAAAATCTTTTAGTGAGAATGTTTGAAGAAATGACGAAAACAGTATCGACAAAAGTAAGAAATAGATAAGTGAGTATAAAAAGAAAGAATTGAATGAATTTAATGAAAAATATCTTTGATGGGTAAACTCTGAGAATTGACTCGTTCTTTAAGATTAATAGAATTGAGTCTGAAGAAGAGGGAAACGGTTGAGAACAGTAGTGTGCCCCAACACAGCCATTTTTACTTTTTGTTCTTTCTCTTTGTGTTTTGGTGAGACATTGCATTTCTGCCCAACACTCAACTCATTATACCACTAATTATTCATAACGCCGTCGATTATTCCAATGAAAATATCCAATTCCCATTGCTTGAAGAAAGAAAAAAAAAATAAATAAAACGACAACCTTACTTATTTTGTCTACTTTACACTTTCTTCTTCTTCTATTTCAATTCAATCTATCTTGTGTTTTGAAGTTGATAGTGACAATTAAAATAATTTGCAATAATATTTTAACAATGAAAAGCCCGATAATTGTTTTAAATCATTTAATACAATTCTAAGAAGCTTTTTTTTTATTCATACATTTTTTATCGTTTAATATTTTTTTCTTCAATTTTCTGCATTTTTATTTTATTTGACTCGTTATTATCTTTTTAAGACAAAAGGTCTTCGATGAGACATTGATATTTAGTATCATTTAATAGTATCTATAATTGGTTTGAGTAATTGAACGCAGTTGAATCGGAAATGGTATTCAATAAGTCTATAACGAAATTTATTTCTGATAAAGTATCCAGTCTATCTCTGCATTACATTGAGACTGGAATATTTTTGAGAAAAATAAGACTTTTAACTATGTACTTTTTTTAGTAACAATAGAGCATACTTATGGGTTCTCGTGGAACGCAATGAAACTCATATCGATTTTCGGTAACACGATCTTGAGTGGCTCTCTGTTGGGCAATAGTTAGAAGCGACGGCGTTAAGTGCTCGTTTCACACCTACTAGACGATACGGCTATTAATTCACTTGAACATCAGGAGAGAGGGTGCGCGAGGGAAAGGAGTATAGGTTCATCCTTGCTTCATTAATCCTTCTTCCTAACAATCATGATAATTTGACGCTATCAAAGATGCTATTGTTGCTATACAAAAATTCTAGACTTTGAAATTCATCAGGAAATCACTTTTATGAGCTTTAATGACTAAAATACTTTTTTATAAAACTTTTCATAAAATTTTTAAATGATAATATTGACATTTTTCAATTAAAGGAATTATATTTTTCATTATTCCAAGTGATTAAAATATGAAAAAAACTATTGAAAGTTTCTAGGATTTGATAATTCTTTCTTTTTAGTGAATATTTTTCATTCAAAATTATAGAAATTTTTCCATTCAGTACTATTTATAATAATAATTGTATTAAAGATATCTAAACACAATTGAAATTTTACTGATTAATGATTACTGTTCCAAAATCCAACTTAACTTCTCACTTATTAACTATATGCTTTTAAACAATTATTAAAAAAAAAATAATACTTATTTATATTTTACTAAGCCTTCTAACAATGTCGTAATAGACCCAAAATCTTTCTATCGAAAATAAAAAACACCCTTTCCTCCATTCTTCCCGTCAAATTGGGCTGTTATCGAATCATGAACGGAAATAATGAAGTTATTGGCATTACTCACCATGAGGTGGCGTGTGCTGATGATTGGGACTGTGTTGATGATGATTAGTAGATACAGCAGTACCTGGAAGTACATGTTGAGCATGCGCAGCAGCAGGATGTACGTTAATCCCAGGAGATCCTGGTAGCTGTCCTGGCTGATGAACTTGATGATGAGTAACGTGATGAGCAGGATGAGGATGTGGAGGCGGCAAAAAAGCCGCAGCTACAGCTGCTTGAGCATTTAAATAGGCCATTCTTGATGCTGTGAGGTTCCCTAGGTTGCCTAAATTTCCAAGGTTCCCTAAATGATTTGTCAGACTTGGCATGTAGTCCCATATTTTATGATGGGCCGTGGCCGGTGCATAAGACACGGCTGAAACACCAGCTGGAGGTGATCCTTGTTGAGGAGATCCACGATCTGTTCCACTTGTATTACCTGTTCCATTGAGACCCAGCAGCTCTTGGATCGCAAATGGCGATCGCTGCGGCATTTTTGTAATCGTTGATTAACTTTTATTTACTTAATCTTGCATAGCTTCTTATCAATTACACTAGTTTCCACCGTCAAGGTCGTCTTGTTTTCATTTACTTTATTTCATCGTTGATGTTTCCTTGATGATGTAGGCTTAAAAAATAATATTGATATTGGCTTTTAATTTATAATATCATTCTAATTGAGTTTAATTTAATTGTTTTTAGAAAGTTAATTCATTGCATTCTCTCACTGCAGCTGAATTCTAAATGCAGCTAGCGACGGACATGTGTAAGGAATTCTTTGCTCTAACTCAATGTGTCCGACGGCTTACGATAGCATATATGCATCTAATTTATGCTAAATTCTTTTATCATTTGCATAATTATTTATAGAAAAATGGAAATAATTTTAATTATTTTTTAAATTTAACTAAATCATATTCGTATCTTACTAAAATAATTGCACAATTCATTATTCACTTTTAAAAGAAACTGATGATTCAACTGTTTTCCATATTAATCAAACTATTGTTTAGAAAGAAAAAATAAATTTGTAAATAAATAGACTAAATGATATATTTGAGAAGAATGATTGTTTATTGATAGAAAAAGGGTCATTTTTTTGAAAACTTGTCAATCCATAGAGGATATTAATGATTAGAGTTTAATTCAATTTTTTGTAGAGTAAATAATAAAAAATATTGTGAAGCGTGGGTGTAATTCAAGCTTGGATTCAGCCTATTATTATATCTACTCACTGAAAAATCGTCGGATCGAATTTCGGGGACGGAGTCTCCAATGTCTTGGTCCATTCGCTCACTCTTGAGATGCTTTAACTTCCCTCAGACACGACGGCACGGGAAACTACACTCTCTGCACTAATCCAAAATTTTTTATCATCAATTGTGGTTCTATAAATAATAGAACTGTATATTCATATACAATAGATTATTAAAAAAATAAAATTTCAATAGTCACTTGAATGTTTTTGTTTTCCTTTTAAATTAAATCAATTGTTTATAGGTAAATAATTGTTTCATAGTCAGTATGTTTACCAACATGATTATTTATATTTAACAACAACTATTTTCACAAGTTTTTCCAAAGAATAATCACTTTAAAAAGATTTATTTGGTTCATTATTTTCACGAATGATGTCACAATGTTTGAATGAATATTCTTTTTATCACTTTGTTGGTAAGATCGGTTGAATCAACTGATTAAGATACTAACTCGAGTGAAGGTTTGATGGACACTTACTTAAGAATGAAGTAAGGAATAAAAAGATTAGACAAATTCAAAGATTTAAATTGGGGAAAGCGGGTGATGGTATGTTCTGTACTGTTTCGTTGTCGCGGCGATCGGCAACTGAGTCGTCGACGGGGGTGACTCGTGGAAGGAACGTACGAGAGAGAGCAGGGACTCTATCCCCGGCGAGGACGTTTCTTAATCGTAACACACAGCAAAACGGAGCGTGGTGAGACGTCAAGAGAGAAACGAAGGGCGGTGGGCTGGAGTTCTGTCGTCAACTACTGGAACTACCCTCCCATGAAAACGATGGGGGGAACACGACGCAAGTTATACCAAGAGAGAACGCTGCTTTCCCGCGGTATTTTACGCTCAACAGTGGCCGTCTCGCTTCGCGGATTGGTTAGTTTTTTTCAGATGTACATTCGGGAAGACATAGCCCTAGTTAACTGCAGGGGTGGGTTAAAGATTGTTCACGCCTATTTTAGAACCGCCTACAGAAGCCAGTTTTACACCCGAAAAATTATTTTAATGCTAGTTATTGAGACTTAAGTAAATATTATTATAGAATCCTAAAAAAATACTTGTACTCACGAAAATTATTCTTTATTCATAGTTCTGCTAATTAGCTGGCCACTTTTTTTTATTTTATGTTTTTTTTTTTTTAATTTAATATTTGTTTTTATTTTAAAATAAAATTAACTATAGAAAAAAAATTAATGATTAGATTGTTGACTCCATTTGTAATTGGCTTAATATTTGGTATTTTTAAAAACATTTGAAAATATACTTTATTCAAATATTTGTTTATAAAAACATTAAATAATAATTTTATAACCTGATAATTTTTAAAGTAATCAATAAAATAATTAATGATTTTTAGAATGAATAATTAAGTTTACTATTTCTTCGTGTTTAACTTTTTAATATAAAATTTTTTTTTGATTGTGAAAAAAATGTGAAATTTTTTCTTTCGAGTTTTTTTGGAGCCAACTTTATCTGATAAAACCAACAGTTTTAAAAAAAACACATGGTGGACTTTGTTATCAAAATTGTTGCAGTGTACAACAAGCTTTTATTTAGAACTGCTATCAAATGTATGGGAGTGGCCTGGACCAGAGCCAATGATAGTCTACCACTTTCAACCGTCATTGGCCAGAACACAAATCGATTTATAACTTACTCCTTAAGCGATGTTCACGCGAGTTTCACCCTTTGCACACTTATGATAAAGTCGCTTTTCCCTGCCGTTTGATTTTCACACCGCCAATTCAGAACAAGTATATTTAGTTGTAGTGAATCGAGTGAGTTAGTGTAAAATAGAGAGAAAGAGAGAGAAAGACAGCGTGGAAAGCGAGAGAAAAGGAAGAGAAGTAAAATTGAGAAATAGAACAATAGTAAGAAAGGGAATTTTGAATTTCTTCATGCTCCAAAATTAGTTTTAATTCACCCTCACACATTTCACCTACAAAAAAAGCAGGAAACTTCATTAAAAATATCGTGAAAAATAGTGATTGTTTGTATGATAATGAAAAAAAAGTATGCATGAGCTTTTTTGCATTTTTCACATTCATTAAAAATGCTTTTTATAAACATACGTAGGCATTATAATCTAATGAGACGGGCTCAGTTAAAGATTAATTCTCTTGATAAATATGAGGGAAATGAAAGAATCGCTTTTTATCAGGATAAAACTTATGTCGATTATAACAGAGCCGAAAAGATAGCAAGGCTTAAGAAAGATTCTCATAGGCTAGGAGAAAAGCATAAAAGTGCATACACGAGGGCCTTTTATTTCCACATTCTTTCGACGACACTTCTCTCGGCTTACTACTTGCCAAGGAGAGGTATATTGTACGATTTGACGTTTGTGTTCGGCGATGCGTACCTATACTCGTACACATAACTACTATCATGTGTCATGACATCAAATAATGTACACACATGCAAACAGGGAAGTATGATCTTCATCGGGGCAGATTGCACTCTCAAATTTAAGCCTTCTTCAAGAGGATACGAAGCCTCCTGAGACAGACGTGAAATATATTCTCTTCAATGGACTCGAAAACATTACAAAATTACTCGTCGAGGTCTTCTGTTTTATAAAAGCTCCTTTTTTTGTATAAAGAAGGAGCTTTATTCATTTTAAAAAGTAAAGCTTCATTTTTTTTAAACTCTCTTTCTTTCAATACCATTTTAAATTCCTTGAGATAATTATATTTTTTATAAGAATTGAATAAAGTTTAACAGGTTTAACCGTAGGAACGGAAATAAGTAGTTGAACCTGATCGCTAGCGTGAGACAGCATGAGAATTGAACGCTATTCTTTTAGAGAAGATTAAGATTTCAAGTGGACAAGACAGGCCCTAACTATACTATTGGGTACCAGGCTTATCATCCTTCGTTTATTTCTTTTCTCTCTTTTTTTTCAGAACGATTGGTATGTTATTTTAACTAGAGGAAAAAAATTAAATAATAGATTTTGAAATGAAGTTATCATATGTACCTTATTTTAATTTATTAAAAAAATTTTTCGATATTTGTTGTCCTACTTGTTATCATAATTAATCATCATTAAAATTAATCATATATCAGGGAGTGGAATTTTTTCAATAAAAAACAATTTGTCATTGATATTGAATTCATTACTATAACATAATGCAATACTTTTATATTCAATATATAATTATGTTAATAAATATTTTACGGAGTAGTTTAAGAGAAAAATGTAATTTTTATTTTTATTATTATTGAATAAAATGCCATTTTATTTCCATTCTGAAATATTAGTTCATTTATGCATTATTTTCAAAGTTCCAATCGAACTTTTCAAGATTAAGAATTCCTTTACCTCTTCTTGATCATAAATTCAAATACCTCTCACTGTAAGCTTACTTTGTGGGACTTTGTAATCCGCATTGTTTGTAATCCTACTACTTTACTGGTTGTTGAATCAATATTTAATAAAAATCGTAACTAGCACAATTTTTTTGTTAATAAAAAACATTTTTCTCTATTTCAGAAATACTTGAATAATAATTTAATAAATATTTTAAAATTAAATGAGTGAGACCAATGCTCCATTTTATTTATTTTGCAGAAAGTAATTTTTCAACTAAAAAAGAATGTGTGCATTATATTTTTAATTATTACTTCACAGCAAATTTCAAATTTGGAAATGTTTTGAAATAACGCCACCGATTTAATTAACATTGTAGTCATTTTTTAAACACTTCCAAGTGCATTAAAAGTGACTACCATGTTAATCGAATGGGTGACGTCATTTTAAAATACTTTAAATTCTCAAATTAAAACACTACGATTCGCAGTGGCTATAACTTGTTATTTGAAAGTAAAAGTATATTTTAAAAAATAAATAAAACTTTCGCACGCTTGACTCTATCCAACCAATGTAGTGGGTCGAATCCGTTGAGTTCATAGAAGAAGCAACTCATAATTTTGAATTGAATAGATAAATTCAAAACAAAATTGGTAATATACAAAAATTCAACTAAAACTTGTGAAAAAGTTAATTTATTTAACAAAAACAAAAAAAATTGAAAAATCAATCCTTTTTGTATGATTTCCAAAACTCATCTTAATTACATAACTCTTCCATCAAGCTTTTCAATTCATACATAATCTGGATTACAAAATGAGGCCAAAGAAGAATATTCGATTACTTTTTTATCTTCCAGTAATAAGAGAAGAAATAATTACAAAAATAGTTGAGCTAAACATAAAAAATAATTTTCCAAAAGGATGTCTTTTGATAAAATAATTAGTTTTTTTCTTAAAAAAAAATAAGAAGAAAAAGTCAAATAATATTATATCATTGGAATAAATCTGCATAAAGATCCTTTCATCGAGTACATTTTTGCCGAGTCTTGCAAAACTGTTAATCCAAAGCTTTTCCAATTACGTCAAGTACACCGATCTCTCTTTATCTTCAATTTTCTTGATCTACTCTCTTCACTCTTTTCTCTGTCTTTCCTTTTCTCTCCCGATCTCACTTGCTTTCTCTCTGTTTTACCGCGTTCTTTGTAAGCGAAAATACTCAATTCGGACGTTAAATTCAATTACAGTACTCCTGATTAATCGTAAGTATCTTTACTTCCACGGGAAGACGACGTTCATCTTTTAGTTATTCGGCGATTTACTTGGTTTTATGTCATGAATATGCATTCAAATGTACTTTTGCCTTTTATCAAACTGACTTAATTCCTATATTTGAAATATCTTAGGTAATATATCTGTCATCGTAGAAATTGCTGAGCTGTGATACACAAGCTGGGTATTTATTCAAGTATTTTTTATTCTACTTAAATCATATTTAATCATAAAGAAGGTCTTTCACTTATTCATTCACGAGTCAATTATTTGGTTTTTTGGTGGATTGAAATTTTTTCTCATTTTCTTTAATTTAATAAATAGTATAATAAAACGTATAAGATAAAAAATTATTCAATTATCACAACTTGTAAATTTCTTAAGTCATGAATTGCAGACCACCCACAGCATCTCAAGAATCACGACAGGATAATTTCAGGCTCTTAAAAAAGTTACTCAGTCATCGCTCCTAACTGGTGTTCTTTCTTTTAATCTTCATGTACTTAAGAAGAGTTTAAGT